TTGTGTTGCGTCAATCCCATGATACTGTAACAGGAGGACATCTCGGAGTTAAGAAAACATTGATTCACCTAGACACAGATTTACTGGATAGGTATGAGACAAGATGTGGAAGAATGGTGCAGAACATACAGTGCATGTTGTGCTAACAGGGGACCCAAGCATAAGGGACGTGCTCCAATGAATTTATATCAAGTTGGTGCACCAATGGAAAGATTAGCTGTCGATATTGCTGGTCCTCTGGAAACAAGTACATTTGTGTGATGATGGATTATTTCACCAAGTGGCCTGAGGCATATGCTATACCAAATCAGGAAGCTACAACTGTAGCTTCGGCTATTAGTGATTTTTTCTTCAGATTTGGTATGCCATACAAACTGCATTCAGCTTTGAATCAGCTGTGTTCCGAGAATGCTGCAAGTTGTTTGGCATCCGAAAAATCAGGACAACGCCACTTCACCCACAGACTGATGGAATGGTAGAAAAGTACAACTGGACACTGGGACAGGAATTGGCAAAGTTTTGTAATAGCCGCCAAGACGACTGGGATGTCTTACTTCCTCCAACTGTTGATGGCCTATAGGAACAGCAGAGCATGAAGCCACTGGATACTCTCCAGCAAAGCTGATGTTTCGTCGGGAACTTCGGTTGCCAGTAGATCTGTTAACAGGACGCCCACCTTATGAAGAGTTGCCTGAAAATGTGTCTGCGTTCGTGAAAGTGTTATCTGAAAGGATGGATAATATTCACCATCAAGTGCATTCAAACTTGAAAACGTCTGCTGATTCGATGAAGTTATGTTATGATAAGAGATCTACGGAAGTCAGCTTTGTACCAGGAGACAAGGTGTGGTTGTATAATCCCAGGAAGACCAAAGGGAAGTCTCCTAAGTTGTCTTCTCCATGGGAAGGCCCATATGACATAATGGATCGTCTCTAAGGCGTAACTTTCCGAATCAAATGTGGTCGGCGAGGTAAGCCAAAGGTGGTGCATGCCAACAGGCTTTGGCGTTATTATGGTCCAGGACATTTCAGTTGGAATGAAGAGAAAAACGGAACAAATGACGCTGCTGAAGACGTGTCACCTGAAAAAGCCACTGTCGTAGAAGAAGAAACTCTACCCAGTTTTGAGAAGAGAAACAGTGAAGCTCTTGATGAAGTTACTACCACTGATGTGACTATTACTGATAATAGGACAATTCCCGATGGAGCAGATGAACCCCACGTGAAGCAGAAGCCAACGAGATGGAGATTAGTACGAAAGAAGATACGTCCCGTAAAATTAAGAGACTTTGTTGAATTTTAATTTTGTGTTTGTAAATTATGTACATTTAATTAAGTTATTGTTAATTGTCTATTGGTTTAATGCAAGTGGCTATTCTTCGGGATGAACAATACTAAGGAAGGGGCAGTGTTACGACAGCGGAATTCGCGCGACGCTGGGAGCATGCGCTGGAGTTCCAGAAAGATCGAGGAACCTGTCGAACGTCCTAGCGTTCGCTAGACGCGCGCCTTTATAGTATATAAGCCGGCAAATAAAGTGATGGCAATAATAGAATTGCAGACAGCGAGATATAGCGACAGATAATCGAGTCAAGCCGTAAGTAATGTGCGCGAATCGCTGTGAATTCTAGCGTGTGTTGAAGTTAAAGTGACTGTGGAAATTAAGTGTATTGCAAAGTTGAATTGAAAAAGAATAAACTAGTTTTATTTAAGAAATGACTTGTATCGCTGAAGTTTCTCGGAAAGAATTTCTACGGAAAATTAACAAACGAACACAGAGACGTAACAATATATATTTCTTGCACTGTCTTGAAAAGTACTAACGAGTATGTAATAATATATTAATTTTTGTAGGGTGTACATAGCATTACTGTTGGATATGTTAAAATATCTGTGGTTATATTCTTACTTCTACTTATTTATTTAAGGGAGATTCTTTGGAATATCAACCTTATTATTGACAGTTACATCTGCAATAATAACTTTGATATTAATTAGAACAAATACCTCTCTTGCTCTTTGTGTTGTTTCTCAGCTGTTGTCAACGTATTTAGGATGAGTAAATTTTGGTTAGACATATTTCATTTCCAAATTAGGTGCAACTGGTGGCCATTAGTAGTTCTAAGTCAGTTTGATGTACTAAAATATTATTATAAAAATGTCAACAGAACAGGTGCTCCAAGTCTCATGGTCCTCAATAGAACAGGATGGAGCTAGTGGATCCTGAATAATGTATCATTAAAAGATTTAAAAAGTTTACAATGTATATATAAATATTTATGAAAATCTGCATAAGGAATGAATGAAACGTACATAATAACATATCTGTTGTGAAATAAAGAATAACTCCATTATTTTTCCTAATTACCCTAATCAAAACCACATTCAACTTCAGAATTATATTACAGTTCATAATTACCTCCAGCACTGAAGGTGGACTGAGGGTATTTTCACCCCTGTATATGTGTGTTTGTCAGCAAGATTTCTCTAAAATGGCTGAATGGATTTGGACGAAAGTTGGTATACATTTCTACTATGACCTAACTAAGAAGTGATTAGTTTTTGAAGGGCCAAGGTCATATCAAGGTCACTAAAAATCTCTCTCTGTTAACATGGAGACTGATTTTTCACATTATTATTGCTATACAACTCAGTCAAAAATGATCGGATTTTGATGAAACTTGGTGAAGTTATGTAGAATATTATTCCCATTGTACTGCGAAAAATATTCCGTGTCCATCGATAAAGAATAAAGACGGACATACAAATACATTTTCGTATTTTTTGAGAGCCGAATATGATCAGATCAATGCTGCGTGACGGAGGTATGTACTCTACTGAGTGACCGTCTAGCTACTTATGTAACTTACAGTACTTTTCAAAGAAAGTGACTCCAAATCTTATATTATTATAACTCTCAGTAGCAATTGTAATCATATTTTCCTAATTTCATTAAATTTAAACTTACAGCTTAACCACTGGGTTCCAAAATAAAATTAAAAGAATAAAAAGTAGCAAGCGTAATGTAAAAAAAAAAACAATCCTAGATTACCGCCACCTGAGGTAAGTATGTAAAACTAACAGTACGTGTTATTGTTGTCGTCGTTGGTGTAATTTAGTGCATAGCTAACCAGAATTTTATTCGTTTTTGGATCTATGGCAAATAGTTTATTGCACTGGATAAATTGATTTTGATCTTTGCACAAAAGGGTATTTATTTCGTAATATATTAGCAACAGAAATTAAGAAATGGTTTGCGAAAAGTGTAAGTTGAAGTATATTGCTTTCACTCGGTGATAGTGCTAAGGTAAATTCATAATTAATAACAATAATATTAATAATAAAACTCATTTACCAGAGATAGATGCCACTTTTTAAATTGACAGATACTGGAAGATTTACACTGCAAATTACAGAGTTATAGAAAGGCAAGAGATTTTATTAAAAAATAAATTAGGTATTCCAAAAGTGCTTATGAGATAATATCAACCAGCTTATGTTAATGATGGTAAAGCTAAAACTAGTATATACTGTAGTAAGGTACGAATTTGGTAAACTTGGAGTTTCAGAAGGCCTTTGACAAAGTGCAGCATAGTAAGTTTGATAAAAAAAATTATCTCTGTGAGTGATAAGTTACCTCTGAATGGTTGGAGAAAAAGGTAGCAAATAGTCAAACTGGATTGGAGTACCTCAGAGCTATAGTATATGCTGGGAACCTGGGTCTTTTGATATGCATTAATAATATGATAAGGGAATGGTAAAACAATTGGTGCTGCTGAAATTAAAGTTATATGTGTTACTGTAGTTTTCTGTAAGGAGGATATTATTGTTTTACAAATTGATTTGGATCATTTGGTGAATTGAGAAGATGGTATTTAATTATGCTAAAGTGCAAGGTAATGCATGTAGGCTACCTTAACATAAAGGTATAATTACCTCCTTGATGGAAATCAATAGTGTTATGGAAGAAAAGGATCTTGGTGTTTTGGTGAAACAGTCTCTTAAGCCTTTTACTTTTAGACAGTGTATTGTTGCTGGTGGAAAAGCAAACATGATTTTGGGTTATATCAACAGAAATATAGAACATAAGTCAGAGGAGTTATTGTTTCTTTGTATAGATCTCTGGTTAGATCCCAAGTGGAATATTGTGTTTTGTCTTGAGCTCCTTACCTTAAAAAAGCATTGCATTGTAGGAAGTGGTTCTAAGGGGGACAACTTGGGTGATGCCTTGGGTGGATGAGCTGTAATATGAGGACAGGTTAAGGTCCTTAAAATTACTTATGAAAACATAAGCATTAGAGGGGATCAGTGTTCAGAATTATAAAAAGAATAGTTAGGATTGATGTATCATCTTGTTTGTGTGTGTTTAATGGTAAGAGTGATAGTAATAAGGAACATAGATTTAAGATTTGACAGGGTTGTCAGCTTTTTGAATAGACAGTGTTCAGCCATGGTAAATAATAGGATTGGTATAGTTCAAGAGAAAGCTTAATGAATATTTAATAAATAAAAAAATTGGCTCGACTTAGGCAGATGAGTGCTTGATAAAATGAATGGAACAGTCATGTTTGACCAAAGGGCTCTTTGTTGCTACTCAAATATAATGTTTTTATATATGAGGAGAACAAGAAGCTGTTGGTCCATTAAGGCTGTCCCATCTAAACTAAAAAATGATAAAATAAAACCTTAAAACCAGCCCTTATCATTTAAATATTTATCAAGCCCTCTCTTAGACTTCCTTTTTTCATCCACCTCATCTGAAGACAGTCCATTCCAAAGGCCAGTTACCTTGTTAGATAAGTAAAATAACTGTTTTAGATGAAGATGGCTCCTACCTTGCCAAACGTTTTCCTACCATTCTCCCCATTAAGTTTGAAAAAAGATGATGCATTGATACTAAGTAGTCTTAAACATTTAATCAAAGCCCCTTTGACTCATCCTTTTTCCTCTTGAAAAAGGAAATTTCAGAGATTTTAACCTGTCCTCATGTGACATTTCCATCTCAGATAATATCCTATGATCCTAGTAAACTTTGTTAAGTAAATTTGCAAAACATCTTTTGTTATTAGACTTTCAGAAACTTTCCTGCCACTGATGTACTACAAGACTAACAGGCCTGTAATTACTTGGAAAGTTTTTATCACTTCCACTGAAAAGAGGAGTAACATTAGCCAACTTATAACTTTCTTGTACCTTTCTTCAAGGACTTAAAATTAGCAGCAAGGAATTTTATCTAGGTATGTTAAAGGTAAGCAAGATGTTAAAATGGAGATATAGCCCTTAAAGAATGCTTCTAACATGATTATTATACAAGATTATGAGTAGTCTCCTGTTTTTACAAGAGAAGAGAAACATAGTAGTAATATTGCTGCACTCTGGGCATTCAATGGGAAATACCAGAAATAATCTTTTCATATAGATATTAATCCATTGGTGGTAGAGTAGGAAGCTTTAGAGATCAAAAGTAGATGAAGCACCAAGGTTTTAAGATGGGTCAGAATCAGATATATGAGCTCCTCTTTCATTTTTATTTGGTCATTATAGAGTGGGCATGTGTCTGACAGTTGGTAAGTTGCTTAAGTTCTTCCAATTTTTTAAATGAGTGATAAAGAGTTGCCCTAGAAATTATGAGCTAGTCAGTCTTACTTCTGTAGTGAAAAATAATAGTCTGGTAGAAGAAGCTTTACAAATCATTTAGTGAAATACAATGTTATAATTGAAAACCAGTGTATTTTTACCAAAGGGAAACCTTGTCTTACTAATCAGTTATCTTTGTTTTCCGATATGGTACTTCCCTGTATTCACAAGATTAGCTATTCTCGTCCAGTGCTGCACTCAATATGCAAAGTTTTTCTTTACACGTACCACAAGCCTTCTGCTCCCCCTTATTGGAATTTAATGATTCCAACATGTCTTTCATGTAAATTATCATGCATCACTTTTCTACCAATAGGAGTGCGACTCTGCCTGTACGCCTCTACTGAACTATCAATTCTTGTTTGGCAGTGCTTGTGCTCAGAAGTGTTAATTTTTATTTGTTTATAGTTTCATGTTCGTCTTTAGTATACTTACGGATTGGTCTTCATTTATTTTCACTTCTAGTTTTTATTAAGACTATTTCTTAACTTCACTTTATTACAGTCACATTGTTATTTATACCTTCAATTATTGGTTGACTCTTCCTCATTATGAATTCCAAAGTTCATGTTACCACTTTGGGGGTCACACCTGCGACTGGTGCTATGTCTCAGGCCTCGGGTGCGAGTGATAGAGTAGGCCAGTGGTGCTCTGCCAGTGTAGATGATGTGCTGTCCTCCAGTATACACTTACAAAGGAGTGAGACATCAAATTGCAGTTCACCCCTTCAGTTGGGAGCCCTCATCCTACTCCTGCACAGATGTCGGTACCCTGTGGCTGGGTTTTGGATTTAGAGTTGAACCAATCAACATGTTTATGGTTGTCTATATTCCTCTCTCGATCATACTCCTTCTGTGTTGTGGTCACAGTGGAGGTAAGGGGAATTGTTCCAGTTCTGTCATTTTTTGCTATCCATCGTTCTATCTTATTCTGAAGATGTTATTACTTTTTAGATGGTTCCATCCAGTTTTGCTGTTGGGGAAACTGATTTATATTACATAGTTCATCCTTTCAATACTGGATCTTGGGTCCCCGGATTGATAGCTCAAGGCTAACACGTGTCATGCTCAGGAGTCGGAGTGGTTCTAGATTCCCCCCGGTCTCTGGAACTTGAGGTGAAGACGGTATGATCCTCATCCTACCCCGACATGGATGTCAGTTCCCAGTGGCATGGGCTTTGGATGTAGTTGACTTACTGAGTACCATCCATCACACCCTAGCCACTCTACACCTAGGGGCACATCCATTGTTTTACCCTCTTTTATACCTTGTGGGACTGAGTTACATATATATATTTACATGGTTAGGATTACTATCCTTCCACAGTTCTCTCTCATTTAGATATGCTTCTGTCATTTTCCACCATTATCTACTGCACATTTCATGGATGGGCAAAGAGTATACCTTGCTCAGAAGTAGTACAGATCTTCGGATCCGACTCTGTCATTTCCAAGGGTACTTCTGTCATTACCTTGCACCAGTTCCACCACCTAATCAATGTAGGATTTTAGCTAGTCTTGTAAATGGAGAGAAGTACTGTATCGGAGTTATAATTTTCCTATACTGAAAATGTATTTCCAATAGGTATTTCCCTCCATTCACAATTCTCACCATTTTCCTCCAGTGCTTGTCTTCTGCCAAATCTTGAAGTAATGGTTTGGTAGAGGCGTATAGAGGGAGTCACATATGTCGCATTCCTATTGGTGGAAAAGTGATGCATGATGATTTATATGAGAGACATGTTGGAATCATTTGATTCCAATAGGGGGGGGGGGGAGCAGAAGGCTTGTGGCATGTGTAAAGAAAACATTTGCATATATAGGGCAGTCCTTGACAAGAATAGCTAATCTTGTGAGCAGAGGGAAGTACCTTTTGGAAATACATTTTCAGCATAAGAAAATTATGAAGACTTTTGAAGACGTTACTTGTTATTTAGACAAGGGAAATGGTGTGGATTTCATGTACTTAAATTTTCTAAAAACTTATAATAAGGTGCCACACAAAAGATTAGCTAAGAAAATCAGATTGGTAGGTGTTGCAGAAAACCTAATTGAATTGCAGGGTGGATGGATTGGAGAAAGCAAAATGTTGCTGTTATTGGTGTAGAGACAAACCGTACCCTTGTTGCTAGTGGAGTATTTCAGGGGTCAGTTCCTGGGACTTGCATGTTGTTTGTTTACATTAATGATATTGATAGGGACATAATTAAACAAGTAGTAAAGTTTACTGATGACATGTATTTGTAGTTGTATTTAGCATATCAAGAATTACAGAATTACGTGAACCAATTGGTAAGTTGGACAAATATTTAGCAAATGATCTTTAATTATAGTATATGCAAGATAATGCATCTGGGTTATCATAATTTGAATCACATTTGATACAGCTGAGAACCAAGTCAGTAGCATGACTGAAGAAAAGGGTTATGGCTTAGTGGTTGACAAGTCACTCCAGCCGCTGAAGCAGTGCCCTGTTACTCATAGTAAAACCAGTAGAATTTTAGGGTGAATTTATAGACATTGATTACAAGTCAAAAGAGGTAATTATTTCTAAACAAATCACTAGTTAGGTATGCAAATTGCTAGTGAGGTCTTATTTGGAATACTGTGTGTGTGTGTGTAGTTTTGA